GACTTTTGAGGTGAAAGATGGGAAATTGAAAGGTCGCTGGTTTAGATTGGGTCAACAAAAGACCGGTACGTTTACTTTGCTTACCACCGGTTTAGTTTTTCGTACAGAGTGACGCGTATTTTTTTTTAATAATTTTATATTCGTTTCGTTTTGCCTTTTTCTGCCTTCTCGATCCTTTGTTGGGCCATGGTTGTTTTCGAATATAAATATCTGACGTTGATATTTTTAGTCCAAAATATACGTCAAAATTGAACTTTATTTACACGAATAATTTTGGATTAATATGCTTTTACTACAATTTTTATTTATACTTAAATTGGGAAAGAATTTTTGTGTTTTTTGTTTTGGTAGTAAATTTCATATAATTTCCAGATGGATTAATTTGCTAAGTAACAAAAAAAAAAAATAATTAGGCAACTAATAAAAATTGACTAATGTGGCCAAATGATAACCATAGAATTTAGGGTATTTGGTTAAATTTTTAATTATAATTTTTTTTTGGGTTATATTTGCTAATTTCCCTTTCCAGATATTAGTGTAAAATGTTAACTGCAATAATTTGTTTCCGGAAATATTATTTTCGAGTTAGTTCCTTTATGAAATGGAATCTTTTATATTACCAGAAGTTTTAAAATATTCTGATACAAAGATAAAGTCATAAAACCGAACCAAACCTGCCACTACGTTCTGACCTTGAAGTGAACTAGGAGATGTTTGATAAAATGCCTCAAAATATTAAGGAGCTCCATATTCATCACGAATCATTTTAAGACACCAAAAAGCTAGAAAGATTTAGCCATTCTTCATGATTATACGTAAATATAAGAATTGTTCTTTGTCCCTAAACTCAAAGTTGAACATTGTCTAAATACTGTTTGATAAATAGAAGAACCTCCATTGAACCCAAATGAGGTAAAACTTGACCCAACTAGTAATAGTACTCTTCCGACCAAAATGTTCCATGTTCTTTAGGTTTCTTTTTGTCCTCTTCATGTTCGAGACTGAGCAAGATTAGTTGTCTAACTTACATAAATCTATGCGGTGCGCAACCATCCGGTAAGAGAATTATTTCAGGTGAAAATGATCAGAGCTCGTCGTGCTTCTGTGGTTGTTCTTGGTTCGTCATCTTCTCGAGTTTTTGTTGTAGTTCCTTTAAATAGACAAAACACCGGGTTATGGCGTGTTTAACGACTGCAAGTATGCTTTGAGATTAGAAACTTACTTTAAGCTTGTCTTCCAAACACCGGGCTGGAGTAGATAAGAGCGCTGCGTATCTGCAATAAGCGAGTAGGAATTAAAGGGATGAAAGAAAACCGGACATAAAAAGGCGATGATCTGAGATGTTAAACAAAGACAAGAACTTACTCGCAACGGCTTGGTTCATCAACATCCATAAGTTCATTTTTCAAACCACATCTTAGCTTTACCTGCATTAAATTAATTAGTCAAGCTTTGTATCCTTAGTACATCTGTGATCTTTGCTAGCCCAATTCTCAGATAGTTGTCTTTTGCCAGTTGGAGCTAATTGTGTTTGATCAATTTCTCGGATTTAACGATATCCAAACACTTACCTTTAGGCTTCTATCGGGACCGTTCCAGCACTTATCACCGTTTGTATACGACATGAATTGGTACGAGTTCTCAAATTTGTCCCATTCCCTATATGAGCAAATCCCATAAAAGTAAATAAGGATGCGTAAAAGGTTAAATATAAACACAGTAAATAAGGACGCGTAAAAGGTTAAATATAAACACAGAGATATAGTGCCACCAACACTTACCCCAACCGAGTTTTTGAATATCCCTCCTCTTGTGTTGCTTCTTTATATCCGCAGACTTTGTATGTATACCTACGACATTATTCAGGTAATGACAGGAAATGCATAAGGAAAATATAATTGTAATACCTGAAAAGTTAAAAGAGAAAGGAAGAGGACACTGATTTGCTAAGTTTATCCTTACTTGCCCTGTTTGCTCTCAAAACAACGACCATGGAATGAATAGAACTCTTTCTCCGGTCCTGTAATAACAATATATAAGGACTAACTCAAAGAAAGGCAAACATAAGTGAAGGTTGAGGATGTCTTATCATACAGACCAAAGTCTTGTTTTAGCTTCTTTTCTAAGCTTGATATCCGTGACTGTATTTTATTCAGTTTTGAGCTTGATTCATCGTATTCCTTGCGTACCCGATCAGCCTCTGCATATACCACAACGCAACAGATGAATCACCAAAGAATAGAAGTCTCGCTGTTACTGTTAATGGAAATGCTAAACTACTTTTTACCAGATTTGTCCACTGGGGTGGTTGGGAACAAATTCACAGCCTGCAAAATGTTCTTGACAGTCTTTTGTATCTTCTCCAGCCAAGTCGGAGTTGAGGTTGTCTCTGTCCGTAACAAAATTAATCATCTCATACTCACTATGATTGATGCAAACATCTTTAAACGAGTACAAATATCTGTGGAAATAGTACAAACCTGAAAATTCGATATCATCATCTGCATCAGATTTGTAGGAAGAACTAGAGTCATGGCGATACTCCTCATCCAAAGATTCATCTTCTGGATCATGATCACTGTATTTTCCACCATCGCTGGTCTCATCATCACCATCTGAAACAAATCCATCATCTTCATCTACTTCATGTGGAATAGTGGACGTGTGCTCATGGTTTTCCTGATCATCAGTTTTTGGGCTCTCTTCTGCCTCAATTGGCTTATCAGACTTCTCTCCTGTCCAACGAGAAGCAACAAGACGCCCTAACTCCTTTGACAACTCCTCCTTTGACAACTCCTTCTCCGATACAAGATCCTCCTATAGATAGAATGTACAGTACTTAGGCGACATGACTCATGATAAAGTCTGGAATTCAATAATCTCCAAGGTATACCCCAAAACGGGCAGGTTATTAAAAAATTCAACGGGTAAGTCTCAAAAGGGTAAGTTTATTCTCATCCGAAAAGTTCAGAGAACTATACTAAGATTCATGATAATCTTTTGTAGGCACTAAGCAGAAATTGGGAGAAAATTTCCACTTTCTTTACCTCATCTGATTCCTCCTTTTTGGTACTAGCATCATTTTGAGATCCAGCTGTGACGGAATCCTCTGATGAGGGAGAATCTCCCTTTGTCTCCGCAACATGCTGCATCGTAAAACAGCCTTATATCATCATCCAACTTCCAAGTAATAAATTTCTCCACTTTTATGACCATATGAATAAAATAATTTTTCAAACCTCATCTGCCAGATTAGTGTGAGCAGCCTCTTCTAATATCCTTGATGGGTCAGCTTCAGCTGCTGGCTGCTGAAATTAAGATCATAAAGCAAAACAAGAGTAATCAAGATATTAACAAGCGCTAAATAACAGTGTAATTCTCAATGACTATTAACGAGGGTACCATCGACATGTGAATAAGTTAAGGCAGCCTAGATATAGGCCAAATATACTTTTGAGCATCTTAGGAACTAAAACTTTAATATATTATTTCATGACCTCAGGAAAGAGTAGGAGGTCCAGGAAAAGGAGCCAAAATATTGAGAACTGTTTGACAAGCTTTGCTTTCATGGTTTGACTATGTATCTTGTTGAATAAATCAATTATACAATCCAAGGATGAAAGCATGCAAATCTATTTCAGTTTACAAGAGAACTAACCTCATTTGAAGGAAAATCGTTGTAATTACCAATCTCATCGTGATGTGCGGTTTCAGTGGGATTTTCATCGTGCTGTGAAACTTCAGGTACCTCTTCATCATGTGCGCTTCCTTCAACTTTATCATTGTCATCTGTCTTCTCCTCACCGACCCCTTTTCCTTGCTCGGGTGACTCAGCC